TGTGGTCATATGCGGATAGAGATGCAAATATCAAAGGTCAAGTAGGGACTACTTTCAGTTTTTATAAACAAACATGGCGTCACACTTGTCATTCGGCGATCGAGTCAGAATTAACCATCGTGAATCTGGATAAACTACAGGGATAATTGCTAAATCAGTGTCGAACTGAGACGTAACTAAGGCATTTCATAAGTTTTGGCAACTTAGGAGATATACATTTTGAAACAATTTTGCGAGGGCACTAGGCCTAGCCAAGCGGGATCTGTAGCCATATCTGTGCTTTTAGACCTCTGCGGCTTGAAACCTTTTCCACAAATAACAATAGTTTAGGCGAAATATGTATGAATTTTTACTTGTTTCGTTTTGGCGCTGTGTGTACATCTGACTGCACTTCTTTACGTTATGACAGAACAGGCCGACTGTCAACAACGTCTGAATGTGGCCGTGACGTCTTATAGACTAGGGTTAGAGTAGCTTCCCTTTGACAAAGGGCAGTTACTCTAGCCGACAGACCGATGGATTGCCGCGAAAGGCAGGTAAAAACAATGGTTGTTTTGCGTATATGTTGCTTCGCCAATGTATGAGAAACAGATTTCAGTTGGAACTATATTGGCTACTGTCACTGTCCGACTGACACATCACTTACCCTCTGATGTAATAAATATTAATGCGAGCATTCCAGGAAAACTCGCAATGTTTAGGTAATGTTTGTGAGTGAGGGGAAGCGATTTTCAAGCACGGAATTGAAGAATGACATTGTATGATAAAGAGGTTATCACGCGAGTGTGTTTGGGGATGGTTAATATCCCGCATTAGGAATAAACATTGTATTTAGCGAGCCTTGGCTCGCTAAATACAATGTTTATTCCTAATGCCGGATATTTACCATCCCCAAACACACTCGCATGATGACCTTTTTATATTGTCAACAGTTTTCAAACTTGGGTGCATCCTACTCGCACTTGATGGGGAAATAAAATCATTCTGACCCTATCTTAAAATCAGTACAACACACTCATTCAGTAATATTCAGTAATCTCCATTGTCTATTTATTTCATTTAATTCAGAGCCGCAACAGGTTCAAAGTCAATCCCTTATCATATTTGAACATTCAAACTTTTATGACCCTCACCTTAATGAACTTACATTATCTAAATCTTAAAAAACAACATTATCTTTGAACTATTTTTATGACCAGATAACACAAACTAATGTCATTATCTTTGAAGATAATTTGGGGAAACGCCTTATCTGAAATCATCCTCACAGTGTTGATTGTTTGTATCTCGCGCATTAATCACAAAGCTCGTCCTATATTCTGAGATATAATAACATCAGCTGAAAATTTCAAAAGGAAAAAAAATATTCTGCCCAGGAAACACAATATGCTTTCATCTCAACTCATTCTATTAAAAGTTTTGTTAAATCTAATTTGATGCAGATTAATTTCAGATCTTAATATATCTGCTGATTAATGATCTTAAATAATTCTGCCATTAATTCAAGCATACTGAACATATTCATACCAACATGATGACCTACATGGAATAACGGGTGACCCTCAGGGATAACCCAAAGGACAGACCTCACAGAGATCTCCAGACAGGGAGCCTCAGGGAGAACCCAAAAGACAGACCTCATGGAGATCTCCAGACAGGGAGCCTCAGGGATAACCCAAAGGACAGACCTCACGGAGATCTCCAAACAGTGAGCCTCAGGGAGAACCCAAAGGATAGACCTCACGGAGATCTCCAGACAGGGAGCCTCAGGGATAACCCAAAGGATAGACCTCACGGAGATCTACAAACAGTGAGCCTCAGGGAGAACCCAAAGGAAAGACCTCACAAAGATCTCCAAACAGTGAGCCTCAGGGATAACCCAAAGGATAGACCTCACAGAGATCTCCAGACAGGGAGCCTCAGGGATAACCCAAAGGATAGACCTCACAGATACCGTATATGACCGCGGATAAGCCGACCCCGTAGATAAGCCGAGGTGTTAATTTGACCATTGAAATACGAAAGAAAATGATATGACCCGCAGATAAGCCGAATCAGGAATTGAAAGACAAAAAACACTGCGAAGTCGGACTGAAAGACATGTGCCGGTACTCGCAGATATTCAAAAATATAAGATGAAAAACGTTATAATTATATTGAAAAAGTCATTATTATTTCTAATAAAGATTTAACAAACCAGTCATCCACTTTCATAATGTGGGAAGCTGTTTCTCGTTGTTTTTTTTAATCTCATAATGATCGTTATATGTTGACATCAACAACCAAGCGCCATATTGTGAGTTGGTGTATATAGAATTATGAACCCGTGAGAAAATATATCAGCTGGAGCGAAGACTCGCAGTTTGAATTCAGCATCGTCACCAATTGAATTAAATAAACTATCATACTATGAACACATTGAATGACCATCACTTACTCACAGGCTTTTCCAGTTTATAAAACTAATCTCTCGAAAACAAAGGAATTAAGCCCCTACTCCCAACACGATCGCTAAGCACCCACAACTTGAAAATGTTTGTGTAAACAACCTGACAATACCAATCGGCCCGTTATTATCAATGCTCATTTCCTTGTGTACCGTGTTGCTTTAAACAACAGGAAGCAATCACAGTGGTCACCGTTTGTGACGTCACAGGAAACAGCTGATCACATGTTTTTGCAAATGGCGAACGGAATAACTCGCCGATACAGTTGTTTATTTGCCTCTTTCAATAAAGGTAGACACTTGTTCACTATCAATTTATGAACTTTGCAAAACGTACGTAATAGCTATTGGCGATTTTATCTGGGGATTATATATTATAGCTGTGAATTACATATATTGTTACATGTAAAGATTGTGGAGTTTACGAAGAACGATAAACTTTGAACATTCAATTGAAAACTTATTATCGGAAGTAGTAACATGCATAACATTTTTTTAATAATGACAACATTGGTGTATAATAATAACTTTATTGATAATTTATAACAATAATGGCTCTAGTCGTGGCAACTTCCAAACTTTCGGGAAGTTGTAATCTATCGGACCGTCATTCAGGCGATGTTTCTGACAGATCACGCTCTGAAAAATACTATCATGAAAGTGTATCCCGTGGATAAGCCGACCCCTTTCTACAGAATCTTTTTTCTGGTCCTCAGTATCTCCAGACAGGGAGCCCAAGGGACTGAAGTTATAGATACGATGACATGCATCAACCAAGACAGTGAGTCCCGTTAATCGCCCCTTCTGGCTTGCATGGGTTGTTGGTGATCAATTCCATCAGTTCCATCACGGCGTGTCAGATTATTGTGGAAGGAAAGCCTGTAGTGATAGACATTTACCACTTTTGAGAAACCCACGAGCACAGGTATGGTGCTGACAAACCTAGAAACATAATCGGGCCAAACTGGAATTCAAATTCACGATCATAGGTTTCTGGTGTGCCCAAGGGAGACAAGGGAGATGTCTACCCGTTCCCCAACCTTACATTTGAAAATGATCTCGTCTATCTCCTTCAACTTCCTGACAACTTTCCCAGAATTCCACTAAAGCGAGCAAATGACAGACAGGTGATGTCAAAACCAATTTTTGCGATAGTTAAAATATATTGTTCCACTAGTCGCATTATCGCTGTAAGAAGTCAACTCAACTCAAGAAATCAATTAGACACCAACTACGGTCGCTAAAGTCACAAACAGTTGCTGTAAAACACCGCCCACTCCCTCATTTTAATCGTGAGATTGTGAGAGAAGCTTCTTCGATTTCCCCACCTTCATGCATGAGAACCATTAAGCTGCTGATGACCGTCCATCAGTATTTGAAAGCACACTTTAGTCTCAACTCCTGGGTAATTAGCCCCCTGCAAGCACCTGCCCCATTTTCACCTGCTCCTTTGGGATGAATCATTTATTTTAACTGATGCTAAGTCTTAATTATTCAAGTTTGAAGATCCACTGATGGTTCACTGGTCCTTGAAACTAACAATGACATAAGGATCTGATTGACAGATTTACATTTTTCTTCCTGACACAATAACGTGAACAAGGACGTAGTGTAATCCGATTGTTGCAGCTTACAGCATAAATCTCTCAAAAGCTAAAATGTGTTCACCCAAACACAGTCAGTATCAGGATGTTGCACATCTTCCCGAAGCAAGGGAGTTAACTGACTGTTAACGTCCAGTTTCCACCCTTCCCAAACTAGGCTCCAATTATGGAGTTCTGTTTTGGCTCGACTAACAAGTCTATGCATAGTCCAATCAAAATGGCATAACAAAATCAACATATGGTTCGTAAACACCACGGATTTCAAATCGCAAATTTTGTTCTTTGTGTCTGGGTGATCATCCATTGTGTCCGGGTGATCGTCCATTGTGTCCGGTTGATCATCCATTGTGTCCGGGTGATCATCCATTGTGTCACGGTGATCATCCATTGTGTCAGGGTGATCATACATTGTGTCACGGTGATCATCCATTGTGTCTGGGTGATCATCCATTGTGTCACGGTGATCATCCATTGTGTCAGGGTGATCATCCATTGTGTCAGGGTGATCATACATTGTATCCAGGTGATCATCCATTGTGTCCAGGTGATCATCCATTGTGTCCGGGTGATCATCCATTGTGTCCGGTGATCATCCATTGACTGTGGGTGATCATCCATTGTGTCAGGGTGATCACAGGGTGATCATCCATTGTGTCAGGGTGACAATAAGATGAACAACAATTCTAACAAGCAGCTAGCCATTTTCAAGACAGCCAAACTCTCAGTAAAAATTCCATTTTCAATTACCATACACACAATTCCCTCAAGCGAGTCTCGGTAATCCTAACAAAATCAATGGAGAAATTAATCAGTGTGGTCAAGATAAAAAAAGGTTTCTTGAAATAAGTTTACACTGTCGGTTATCATGTGTTGCCAGATCCACCTGCTGAATGCATGTTAATAGATGGAGTCAACTCCCCTCCCCAAACAGAATATCAAATGTGACTTACCTCCCCTGGTTTAGTTTTAGCCACCTGGCGTTCGAGCTGGAGCCTCTCTTTGGCCGCTTGTTTGATGATCGTGACAAGCTCCTCTTTCTCTTCATATACTTGTGCATTCTGAAATTATTGTGTTCAGTTGAGCACCTAATGTTTGGTTTGGGTTGTTTGTTGTTTAACGCCGCACTCAGCAATATTCCAGCTGTATGACGGCGGTCTGTAAATAATCGAGTCTGGACCAGCCAATCCAGTGATTACCATCATGCGCATCGATCAACACATATGGGATCGATGACATGCATCTGAGCCTGACCACCCGATCCTATTAGTTGCCTTTTAGGACAAGCATAGTCGCCTTTTATGGCAAGCACAGCTTGTTGAAGACCTATTCTACCCCGGATCTTCACGGGTCGCTGTATGGGTATGATGACACACAATCATCCAAGACACTCAAGTCTGACCTCCCGATCCTTGAAGTTGCCTCTAACTGTGGACCTAGCCTATAACAGAATCCCCACAAAGGTCCTGGTGTTTTTAGATATATGTCATGTATTGCCATGGTGATTATTGCCATAGTAATAGTACCAGCTAGCACGCGGTATGATGTCAGGACGGACCACATGTACTGGTGCCGTGATAAGAATATATCCATGATCGTATCCCCAAGCCTTCTTGGTTTATAGATACACAGATAGATCCCAATATGATTTGTTTGTTTGTTTGTTTGTTCTTTAACACCACACTCAGCAATATTGAGCCATATGACGGCGGTCTGTAAATAATTGAGTCTGGACCAGACAGTCCAGTGATTGATATCATGAGCATCGATCCACACAATTGGGTTTGATGACATGCATCAACCAAGTCAGCAAGCCTGACCACCCGATACCGTTATTTGCCTCTTACAACAAGCATAGTCGCCTTTTAGGACAAGCATGGGTTGCTGAAGACCTGTTCTACCCCGGATTTTCATGGGTCGTTCCCAATATGAGAAAAACAAGAAATACATTACAATATACAAACCATTAAGAATGGCTTAAATTAGTCAAATAAAGTATGAAAGAACCTAAAGATAATGGTCTAGTGGATAGAGCGTCTGCCCAGAGAGTCAGATATGTCGGTGGTTCGATGCCCTGGCCGTTTCATACCAAAAGAAGTCAAAACACGGATCTTGTTATCCTGCTTGGCACTTGGCTTTAAGGACTGGTCGGCTCAGAGTCAGTATACTGTGTCTGAATGGGGTATTCACATTAAACTGTGGCATGGTATCTCAGTGGCATAGCGCTGTATTTAAGACCGGCGTTAGTCCAGACAAGAACAAGCAGACAACCCCCAGTCAACCCCACCCCTCACACACATGCACTCAAGTGCATAATAAGTGCAATAATCTTGAACGCGACGTCTAACCCCATTTCACCTCACCGTCCCAGAGCCGATATACTAAATGCATAGTTTTCCTCATCGAGACTTTAACAAGCTTATTGTAACCTCAACCACAGACAAACAAAATCAATTCTCTTCTCATTCAAAGATTCCCATGAAACTGGAGAGATAAGAGAGTTATTTTCTCATCAAATGCTACACTAATTCAATCAAACAGCTTACATCAAAGGTAATTCATGATTCATGGAAATTTCTGGCAATTCATGGAGCACTGAGTGCGATTTATATAATATTTATCGGATCACAGACTGAATATGCTTGTTTAGTTTCCAATGGCTGTATAACCAACTGAATGAGACAATAAAACACCAGCTGGAAACAGCATTGAGTTTTTGAAACAGGTTTACCACTGTATTCTATCATTAATCTATAAATTGAGTGAGTGAGTGAGTGAGTTGGGTTTTACGCCGCTTTTAACAATATTCCAGTTATATCGTGGCGTGTCAGCTTAATGTGGGAGGAAAGCCCAAAGTGATGCAGGTCTCAGACGTTTACTACTTCGGTGAAACCCACGAGCACGGGTATGGTGCTGACAAACCTAGAAACATAATCGGGGCGAACCAGGATTCGAACCCACAATCATAGGTTTCTGGCGTGTCCAAGGGAGGCAACTTTGCACAGCAAATCGCAGCACCTTAGACGACTCGGCCACCCGTGCCCCCTATCTATAATTCGAAAGCCACCTTATTGGAACAAGAGAAAGCACATACCGTTTGTCTTTTTTACAAAATATTATCATGAAATAGAGTCAAACTACCGTATTCGACGTAATAGGCGCCCCCTCTAATAAGCGCCAACGGCGATATTTGCTAATATATTGGCGAATGAACAAACCCAATTAGCACCCCTTCCGATTGATCAATGTACACAAGACTTATAATACGCACTCGTGTGTTATATGCACCCTTAATTATGGGCAAATAAATTCTGGAAAAATATATGGTGTATATAAACATTTCAGGCTGTCAGCATAAACCACGAAATTTATCTTTTAACTCAAAATAATATTCTAATAAGAGCCCCCTAATTCTAATTTTGAGAGCGCCCTGGGTGCTTATTACGTCGAATACGGTAATTTGATTTAGTACCATACTTTCTATTGTTAAATCTTTTAACATTTTCTCAAAAGACTTTCGGATGCCATACTTATATTCTTCTCATCTTCAACAACAAAGAGGAATTAATCATATACTTAACTACAGAACACTGCACCAATTACAGTGATTAAATTCACTATCAATCAAAAGATACATTTTTTTTTAACTTATGACAGAGTTACCTCCTCTTGCAATATGGCCAAAATGACACTATTGTTTTCAGGCTAAGATCTGGTAACAAGTACATAAAACATAGAGTATTTTCTTCTTCCTGTAAAAAAATTTAATCTGGTCTCATGAGCCAATAACTTTTACATCTTCTACTGGATGCAGTACACATGAAAGTATTATTGTTAATTCCTGATGCGAGAATTCAGGGATTTTGTTTGACCGACGATTTCTTTGTCGTACACAGACGACCACATTGCAATCCATTCCAGATTGATCAATATTTAGCCTACAAAACTTTTTTTCAATATATATATTTGGTAACCTGATCTTTACCTATAAAGGAGTGAGTGAGTGAGTGAGTTTTGGCTTTAAGCCGCTTTTAGCAATATTCCAGCAATATCACGGCTGGGGACACCAGAAAAGGTCTTCACACATTGTACCCATGTCGGGATTCAAACCTGGGTCTTTGGCGTGACGAGCGAACGCTTTAACCACTAGGCTACCCGACCGCCCCTTTACTTATAAAGTAAGATATACCACACGTGCATGGCCCCCTGGGGACTCAGGGTTAGATAGTGTCCCCTGCAACGTTTGCTCATCATACAAAGATTTTTGTTTTGCTTGTTTGTTGTTTAACGCAGCACACACCAATATTCCAGTCTTGAATAGGGGCGGTCTGGTAGCCTAGTGGTTAAAGCGTTCGCTCGTCACGCTGAAGACCCGGGTTCGATTCCCGACATGGGTACAATGTGTGAAGCCCATTTCAGGTGTCCCCCGCTGTGATGTTGCTGGAATATTGCTTAAAGCGGCGTAAAACCATACTCACTCACTCTCTCACTCAGTCTTGAATAATAGAGTCTTGACCAGACAATCCAGTGATTGAGCATCAACCCACACAATTGGGATAGGATGACATGCATCCACCAAGTCAGCAAGCCTGACCACCTGATCCCGTAAGTTGCCTCTTACGACAAGCATAGTCGCCTATTACAGCAAGCATGGGATGCTGAAGACCTATTCTACCCTGGATCTTCGCGGGATACGATGACATGCATCAACCAAGTCAGCAAGCCTGACCACCCGATCCCGTTAATCACCTCATACGACAAGCAATGTCACCTTTTGTGGCAAGCATTGGTTGCTGTTGACCTAATACACCCCGGGTCTTCATACAAGGAACCCAAATGAATAAAGTGGTCGGGTCAGCGAGTTGGTTGATTGCCACCAAATCCAGATAGCGTACCATATTGCTCATACTATTAAACACTACTTCGTCTGGTCCGGACAGACTGCCATAATATTGCTGGAATGCTGGAGTGCTGTGTAAAACCATCAATCATGCAGCTTGTCCTTGATCTTTTCTATAGTCACAACATGGCTGTTTCCTCTGCATATCAGAAAGAACATCTATGTAATGTGATAGCTGGAGACCACATCCTTCAGTATACCCCTACCCAAACTAATCGAAGGCTATGCATATCTGAAACTCTTACTCAGGCCTGCGATTTAGCATTGTCGATTGCCTATTGATTTCCCTGATCGGCCAATGTCTTGTGAAATCAGCGTAGTTACACAGAAATGCACTCTGTGGCCAACTAGGTGTATCATTATTGTTTATAGCTATTCATACTACTACTCCTATTCACACCACTATTCGGGCCATTTGGTAGCCTTGTGGTTAAAGCATTCACTTGTCATGCTGAAGGTCCGGGTTTGATTCCCAACATGGAAGAGTGTGTGCACTGCCATGATATTGCTGGAATATTTCTAAAAGGGACATAAAACCCTACTCAATCACACTACTATTCATATTACTATTAACACTATTTGTATTACAATTCACACTACTATTTGCATTACTATTCATATTACTGTTCCCATTACCAGTCACAATACCATTTGCATTACTATTTGTATGACTATTCACACTACCATTTGCATTACTATTCACACTATTTGTATTACTATTCACACTACTATTTGCATTACTATTCACACTATTTGTATTACTATTCACACTACCATTTGCATTACTATTCACATTTCTATTTGTATTTTTACTATTCACACTACTATTTGTATTACTATTCACATTACTATTTGTATTACTATTCACACACTACCATTTGCATTACTATTCACATTTCTATTTGCATTTTTACCATTTGCATTACTATTTGTATTACTATTCACACTACTATTTGTATTACTATTCACACTACCATTTGCATTACTATTTGTATTACTATTCACACTACCATTTGCATTACTATTCACACTATTTGTATTACTATTCACACTACTATTTGCATTACTATTCACATTACCATTTGCATTACTATTCACATTTCTATTTGTATTTTTACTATTCACACTACTACTTGTATTACTATTCACACTACTATTTGCATTACTATTCACATTTCTATTTGTATTTTTACTATTCACACTACTATTTGTATTACTATTCACACTACTATTTGCATTACTATTCATACTAGTATTCACATTTTTATTCATATTACTATTGACACTACTATAAGCATTACTTTTCGCACTACGATTCACATCACTTTTCACATAATTATGGCATTAAACCATCAAGAGGATAAGCTCGTGAGAGAGTGACGTTTGCCTCGATTTCCGTAGCACCAGCAATACTGTAGCAATTTGCAGCAAGATCATTTAAAATTTTACTGCAAGGCCAGTACAATACAGCTTTTAGTTTTGCAGACAACTGTGTACAAGCCTCCCTAACTGAAAAGTATGAACTTGAAATGTTTGTGTTTTGTAATAATCTTTTTGAAACCTTTGTTTCAAGAGAAATTAACCTTGAAATTACCCTGACAACATTCCATATTCTTTTACAATTTTAATACATTTTTTTGGACAAATCAAGTGTCTATAAGTATAACACAGTTCAGATACATATGATATGAAAACACTAATGTACAAATGCAAATTCCATGCGTTCTCAATATCAAGGTATTCCGAACAGTGAGTACTGTATTTGCTGCATTAAATGCCCTGCTCCAATCATCTTCCCGAGGCAAGAGAGTTAACTGACTATAAAAGTTCAGTTTCCACCCTTGCCGAACTAGGCTGGTATTATGGAGTTAGATTTTGGCTGGACTAACGAGTCTATGCATAGTCCAATCAAAATTGCGCACCGAAATCGAAATCCGGTTCGTAAAGTGTCATGCAGATTTCGGTCGACTGCAGGATTTGCAAAGCATGTGCACCGCTAACTCGTTGTCAACAGATATTTTCTAAATCTTTTCCTGTTTTTAATCAAGGCGATTTGATCACGTGATTTGATGCACTTCGCGATGTAAGACTCGTTTTATCACAATATAGATCTTGATTATCGATTCAGATCGTCTTGACTGGGCGCCACCGTTTTGTTTGAAGCAAATGCAAGTGATAGGAGAGGTTGAATGTGATTGGTCAATAGGAGAGGCATAGAAAGGATATAACTTGTAATAGCCACTGGTGGCGCTACGATCAAGCCCAGGAATTCCAGCCTAGTTTGGCAAGGGTGGAAACTTGACTTTTAAAGTCAGTTAACTCTCTTGCCTCGGGAAGATGTGCTCCAATAAGCACCCCCTGAAAACTTCTAGATCAATCTGTAAGTGATCTTTAAAAGCACCCCTACTAAGAAATATCCATCACAGTCCAAATTTCCTTGTGTATAATGCAGATGCTTTACAGAAAACAGAAGTGCCAAAGGGGTATATTATTGCTAAAAAAATATTATCAAAAAAATCCATCAACGTTTGAACTAAATTTATTCACTACTACTCAATCTCTGACAACAAATTTAACTAAAAATAATAGGTTATAATAGGTGCCTCCACTTAAGCCAATTTTCTAAGTGTGCTTATTCCTGCGAAAACGGTATGTTGTATATGTTGTTAAACAGTGTGGAGGATCTTGTCCTTTTAATAGGAAATACTGTTTTTAATGACTAGATTCAAAACAGAAACATTTCACGACAATTTGTAAGCCGAGCTAATGTAGAATAGTTCTGATGTCTGATGAGGTTATTTTGGTCTTGCCAACTACCGTATTCGACATAATAAGTGCCCAGGGCGCTCTCAAAATTAGAAATAGGGGGCTCTTACTAGAATATAATTTTGGTGAGAAAAAGGAAGAGTTGAAAGATCGTAAATTTTCTTGGTTTATGCTGACAGCCTGAAATGATACAAAAGAAAAGTCGGTGCATATTATACACGACAGATATATTTTCCAGAATTTAATTGCCTATAATTAAGGTCGCATGTAACACACAAGTGCGTATTTTACACGAATAAACAAGTCTTGTGTACATTGATCGATTGGAAGTGGTGATAATTGGTATTGTTCACGAGCCAATATGTTAGCAAATATTAATGGGCGCTTATTACGTCAAATACGGTATTCCTCCAAAGGTCTTCTACATGTCCTAGAGTTGGCTTAATGGCAGTAGAAGAAAATACATTGCTTGAATTGATTTCTCAAGAGCTGTTTTAGTTGCGGTATCTACTTACTGTGGCCTTGAAGGCCAACATCACATGCAACACCATCAAAAGATGCTGTAATTTTATAGACAAATGAAATGTATGTAACAGCCAAAAACAGATGAGCGTTTCATCATTTGTTTTGCTTTCAATCTGGACAACCTATCAATAATCATATGGCTTTTACAGCTAAAGTAATCTACAAAATCAGTGCCTACCCACTTTTATGATTACAACCACAACCATTAGGTTAGTCTGTCTCACAGCCCCTGAATCAAACTATTTTTACTTCCACCCAGCCCTTACTGTAATGCTGTAACCCAAAATGAAGCAAGTCTAGGTTTTCCACAGGTTCTGAATCTCACATCTCACAGGGGATCCCTTTAAAGGAAGTTTTTGTTTCTATAGAAACATTTTTTTTAAGAGGCTAAGCACCAGTCCACCACGAGGCCATCCATATTGTTTGTGTTTGTTTGTTTGTTGTTAAACACCACACTCAGAAATATTCCAGCTATATGACGGCGGTCTGTAAATAATCGAGTCGGGACGAGACAAGCCAGTGATTGATATCATGAGCATCGATCCACGCAATTGGGATACGATGACATACATCAACCAAGTCAGAGAGCCTGACCACCCAATCCCTTTAGTCGCCTCTTACGACAAGCATGGGTTGTTGCAGACCCATATTGTTTATGTGATTCTCATCTCAATGGTCAGAGAGTCGTCTGCAGGATTTGCAGAGCATGGGTACCGTCAACTGTGCATTGACAGATATTTTCCAAATCTTTTCATGTTTTTAATCAAGGTGCTTAAATGAGGTAAGACCCTATTTATTACAAGATAGATCTTGATTATCAATCAGATCGTTTTGACTGGGGAAGGCCATCTTGTTTGAGTGAGTGAGTGAGTATGGTTTTACGCCGCTTTTAGCAATATTCCAGCAATATCACGGCAGGGGACACCAGAAATGGGCTTCACACATTGTACCCATGTCGGGAATTGAACCCGGGTCTTCGGCGAGACGAGCGAACGCTTTAACCACTAGGCTACCCCGACCGCCCCCCATCTTGTTTGAAGTCAATGCAAGTGATATGAGAGGTGGAATCTGATTGGTCAATATGTTGAACACGTAATAGCCTGGCGGCGCATCGATCGAGCCCATAAATTCCAGCCTAATTCGGCAAGGGTGGAAACTGGACTTTTATAGTCAGGTAACTCCCCTGCCTCGGGAATTGAGTGAGTGAGTGAGTGAGTTTTGGTTTTAAGCCGCTTTTAGCAATGTTCCAGCAATATCACGGCAGGGGACACCAGAAATGAGCTTCACACATTCCCTTGCCACAGAAAGATGGTGAGATTAAATAACGTTGCTTCCAATTTTTGTCATGAAACAGGATTGATTTCCCATAGCGGGATGATATATACTACTCAAAAGAAGATAGAGAACACCTACAGTTGGAAGGCTGTGTGTACAACTCCCCCTACCTCAGGTATAAGATAATCTCCGTTGCTGAGCTGATCGGCAAGCTCCTGACACTTTTTGCGTAGATCCTCGATCTCCCGATCTTTCGTCAACATGCTCTTGGTGTGTTCTGCAAGGTCTTTTGCTCTTTGTCGAGCAAAAAGTCGTTTGAGTTGGTCCGAATCGGGCAGACCTTCTTCCTTTGTTTTCTGTAATAAAACACAAACAGTTCTTCATATAATGGGAGAGTCACTAGATTTAGTCATAGACATCACATAAATGTGGCACAAAATGATGCAGGTCAGAAACATCGACCACATTTGAATAGGACAAGGTGACTCCAGAAAGTGGTCACATCTCAACAATTTTTGCTGAACAAATGTTTTTAAAGGATCATGAATATTTTGGGGGATAATTGTTACTGTAGTGAAGACTGAGCACACAAAAAAAAATATAATAAATATATATATAATAAAAATATCCCCAAAATTGTTCATCCTCCATAACTTTTTTGTTCAGCATACAATAACCAAGTATGATTACACAGTTATCTCCCTTAAATCCCAAACTGGGGTGAGTTGGGTTTTACACAACTGATGGTGATATACACTAACATCTAGTCTCTGAAATGAACATATTTTACAGGTAAACAGTTGTAACATTTTTGTTTTGAAATATAATATAAAGGAGGCCAGAGACTCTTCATTTGACAGTGCAGTCATCTAGACTTGCCAAATATCATAGGCTTGCATGGGCTGTATTGGAGATATTTGTTTCAGGGTCTGTATGACAGTTGAATAGCGATATTCCAACCATATGAAGGTGGAGGCCGTTAGAAATGGGCTTCACACTTTGTACCCACATGGGGCATCAAATCAGGACCTTGAGCACGAACCGCGAACTTTAACCACCACGCCACCCCTCCCCTTACTCCCTAGCAAGTCTATGCATAGTCCAATCAAAACTTGCATAACGAAATCGACATCTGGTTCATAAACTGCCATGCAGATTTCTGTCGATTGCAGGTTTTGCAAAGCAAGTACTGCCAACTCGGCGATATTTTTCAATTTTTTTCATGTTTTTAATCAAGGTGCTCACGTGATTTGATGCACTTCGCGAAGTAAGACCCGTTTTATCACAACGTACATTTTCACTATCAATTAGTTCATTTTGACTGGGCGCCATTTTGTTTGAAGCTTATGCAAGTGATATGAGAGGTGGATGGAATCTGATTGGTCAATAGGAGGGACAGAGAAGGAACAAAACTTGTAACAACCACAGGGGGGGCTACGATCGACCCCAGTATTCCAGCCTAGCTCGGCAAAGGTGGAAACTGGACTTTTACAGTCAGTTAACTCCCTTGCCTCGGGAAGACGCCAGTTGTTGATAGTCAGACAACAATGTGATGCTGAGGGCCTATTCTGTCCCAGAATCTCCACATCAGACATTATCTCACCTATTGCAATGTCTAAAATGTTATACAGCACAAATCACACAAATACTGTCAGGTCTCAACAGGAAATTGTCCTCCAAGTTGTCTCCCCTTTATCTGCCCTTCACCTTACACCTAATACCCATTTTAGCTATTGTCTTTTAGGTGGGTGAGTTGGGTTTAACGCTGCTTTTAACAGTATTCCAGTTATATCACGGTGTGTCAGCTTAATGTGGGAGGAAAGCCCAAAGTGATGCGGGTCTCAGATGTTTACCACTTCGGTGAAACCCACGATCACGGGTATGGTCCTGACAAACCTAGAAACATAATTGGGGCGAACCAGGATTCGAACCCAAAATCATGGGTTTCTGGCGTGTCCAAGGGATGTGACATTGCACAGTGAATCGCAGCGCATTTGACAACTGGGCCACCCGTGCCCCCGAATTAGAATCTAAAATAGTGATTATAGTCACACAGCGAATCGCCCCCCTGTCTTTTAGGACTTGACTTCGAGGAACAACATAATAATTATCAAAAATAATTTCAGATAATTTGTGCCAATACAGATTCGAAAGCACCATAGATACAGATAAAAAAGATACATAAAAGACAAGGACATTTTAAAGGTGGATCAGATGCCCAGTACATTTTTATGGCTTTGTTGACCTTTCAGTGAGTCGATCGTCTTCTTTATGGCTGGAAAATGTAGGCGCAGAAAATGAATAAGATGGAAATAAGTCTCTCAAATACAAATTAAAACTATTATTATTCTAACCTTTGTATTTTCTTGCTGTAAATGTTTCGCCTTCTCCTCCAGCCTCCGTGCAATGGCTGCCAGCTCAGCATTGCGTTTCTTGAGGGCCTTGATCTTTTCTTCCAGTGGTTTGTGGTCATCTTTCTGTTTTCTCTGAAACAGATCAGGAAGTTTACTCAATAAAAAAGTGTCATGTATTCACGTCAGGAATAGTTTCTATGGTAAAGCAATTAGTTTGGGATTTGTTGGATCACAGATATTTTACATCAATGTCAGAAGTTGGGATAAGGGAATAAGGTCTTTTTTTCAAGAGTTGACATCAGTTTATTCTTTTCTCAAAATGGATCACGGAATGTTTTTACAAATATTACCTGTAGGATGAAAAAAAGTCTTATAGATAATTTTACTAAAACAAGTTTTTTCCAAATAATTTTGGTCAAATTTTTTGATGAAAAATGCATTTGTGCAGTTTTGTCTAAAAATATTGAAACAAATTTTAGACGAAACTGCACAAATGAAATTTTTCGAACTTTTTTATGTTATGTTAGTTTCTATGGAAAATGAAAAAAAAGTGAAATTTTGAAAAATTTCAAAATAGCAAAAGGCACCAGATGAGCTGATCAGCAGTGCATATGAAAAACATTGAACAGTTTTCAAGTTAGGGCTCAGAATAGGACCCGAGCCAAAAAAATATGTCTCCCCTACCTTTGGGGGTGGGAGAAATAAAAAAGTTACATGGAGGGGAGGAAATAAAGGAGTTAATGAAAAAAATAGTGATAAGGGAAGCCTCAGTCATGAAAAATAAAATTGACCTTTGGTGAAGGTCATAACAAAAATGAGTGAGCCAGTGAGTACTTTGACGTTGCTTCTTGCGATATTCCAGCAATATCACAGCAATATTCCAGCAATATTCCAGCAATATCACAGCTATATTCCAGCAATATCACAGCAATATCCAGCAATATTTCAGCAATATCACAGCAATATTCCAGCAATATCACAGCTATATTCCAGCAATATTTCAGCAATATCACAGCAATATTCCAGCAATGTTCCAGCTATATTCCAGCAATATTTCAGCAATTTCACAGCAATATTCCAGCAATATTCCAGCAATATTCCAGCTATATTCCAGCAATATTTCAGCAATATTCCAGCAATATCACAGCAATATCACAGCTATATTCCAGCAATATTTCAGCAATATCACAGCAATATCACAGCTATATTCCAGCAATATTTCAGCAATTTCACAGCAATATTCCAGCAATATTCCAGCTATATTCCAGCAATATTTCAGCAATATCACAGCAATATTCCAGCAATATCACAGCAATATTCCAGCAATATCACAGCAATATTCCAGCAATATCACAGCAATATTTCAGCAATATCACAGCAATATTCCAGCAATATCACAGCAATATTCCAGCAATATTTCAGCAATATTACAGCAATATTCCAGCAATATCACAGCTATATTCCAGCAATATCACAGCAATATTCCAGCAATATTCCAGCAATATCACAGCAATATTCCAGCAATATCACAGCAATATCACAGCTATATTCCAGCAATATTTCAGCAATATCACAGCAATATTCCAGCAATATTTCAGCTATATTCCAGCTATATTCCAGCAATATCACAGCAATATTCCAGCAATATCACAGCAATATTCCAGCAATATCACAGCAATATCACAGCTATATTCCAGCAATATTTCAGCAATATCACAGCAATATCACAGCAATATTCCAGCAATATCACAGCAATATTCCAGCAATATCACAGCAATATTCAAGCAATATCACAGCAATATTTCAGCAATATTCTAGCAATATTCCAGCAATATTCCAGCAATATCACAGCAATATTCCAGCAATACCACAGCAATACTCCAGCAATAATCCAGCAATATCACAGCACAAGGACTGGGCTTCACACTTTGTACCTAGACCATGCTTGTCGTAAAAGGTGACTAACAGGATCGGGTGGTCAGACTCGCTGACTTGGTTGATGCATGTCATCGATCCCAATTGCGTGAATCGATGTTCATGATATTAATCACTGGATCGCTGGTCCAGACTGGATTATTTACAGACCGCCGTCATGGCTGGAATATTGCTGAGTGCGGCGTAAAACAACAAACCAAAACCAAAACTTTGTACCTAACTGGGTAATTGTCCTCTGGCCTTCAGTATGTTGAATGAATGCTTTAACCATTACAGTATTTTGATCACAAATGAAAAGTCATTTGTGTTTGTCAAGGGGTCATGACCCGGAACCATTGGTCATCTGAAGCACCGATTATGATTGTGATGCTTCTGAAGCAGGGTTCATGTCAAGGAATATTGAAGTCACTGTGGCTGTCAGAGGCCAATTACTTCAACATTCAATGCATGCGTTCCATGTAGGGTATTGTATCCTATGGCAGACTGGTCCCAGGGAAAAATCATCCCACAATATATTATTGTTACATTATTAAGAAACCAGTTTTGTAGGTCTTGTCCAGTATTCTGAAAACTGATTGCCTCGATATCAATAAATATGCAGTGATTTTACAGCCTCATCTTCAGTCAGTTTGTGATTAGATCATACAGAGTTATTTCCCTTGCTTCACCTAAACGCAGATCTTACTGAAAATGGAAGCCTATATAAAATTCTCCTCAACCTACGAGAACGTTCTTCAAAATGTCTCAAACTTATTTTCTCTAAAAATGACTATTTCATAAGTTTTCATATTTTCAAATATGATATAATGTACAATCTCAATATCCAGAGAAAATCACATCCATGGCAAAGTGGATAGAGCATCTACCCGGAGAGTGGTTGGTTGGTTTGTTGTTTAATGCCGCACTCAGCCATATTCCAGCTATATGACGGCAGTCTGTAAATAATAGAGTCTGAACCAGACAATCCAGTGATTGACATCATGAGCATCGATCCACGTAATTGAGATTGATGACATGCATCAACCAAGTCAGCGAGTCTGACCACCCGATCCCGTTAGTCGCCTTTTACGACAAGCATAGTCACCTTTTACGGCAAGCACGGGTTGCTGAAGGCCTATTCTACCCCGGAATCTTCATCATGGGAGTGGAAGGTAGGGGTTCGATCCCCAGTCATGACATACCAAAAGATATCAAAAGATGGTACTTGTTACCCTGCATTGCGCTCAGCATTAAGGGGCTAAAGCAAGGGCTGGTCGGCTCGAACTCAGGCCTTCAGCATAACGAGTGAACGCTTTAACCACTAGGCTACCCCACTGCTCCCTTAAATCCAAGGAGACACCAAACACAAGATACGCTAAGATTCAATATTTGAGATAATCGGATCCCCAAACAAAAACATAAAGTTCATTTACCTCAAAGTCGTACAAATTAACATCAATTTCAACCTTGACATCAACCATGAATACAATGATTTCTTGTAAAGCTTTTCAAAATTGAATTAAACTGATTTAAATTTGTTCCAGACCAATGATGGAAACAAAACAAACAAACCAAATTTCCAAAACAATAATTTAGAAATAATCAACCAAACATACATATTCTAAACCTAAAAGCCTAGACCAGTCAGGCAGTTAAATCTGACACAGTCCTTTGAAAGCATAACAATAGAAGAATGCTCATGGACAATAGAACATGGCCTTCTATTGAAAGGTGAAGCTATGCACTTCAGTCCCTTGATAGGTGTTTGTTCCCAAGCAAGCCAGCCACCACTAAGCCTTTCACCATGGTGCAGCAGAGAGAGGGTATTTTACACACACCAAAACACATGGATGAATTCGATGAAATAACCCAATTTTGTATAATCCTTCTAAAAGGGCAAGACTAGGTAAAACTTCTGCCCATCCCTGCTGGTAGAATAATTAAATAATCTATTAATTAGGGGGAAGGTGTCATAACCCAGTCAAAATTTGAAGCAGAGGTTACGGGTGTAAATCTTTCCCAAGATTAATCCTCACAGTTTTGAAATTAAAGTTTTAAAGAATACATAAACCTAAAGAATTTCAAAATTTCAAAACAAACACAGCATTTCTAAGTTCTTAACTTTTTACTTTACAATTTTGAGTAAGTTAACATTTTGCATTGTTTTGAAAATACATTTTTTGTTATATCTTTATATCAATGTTTTTGCAAAAATCTTTTGACTTTTGAAAACAGTAAGGATAGGTTCCTCTGTAAAACAAGCAAATATACTACTCAAGATAAGGTCAAGAACACTGATCCCTTCATACCACTAGTTACTGTATTCGACGTAATAAGCGCTCACGGCGATATTTGCTAATATTTTGGCTAGTGAACAAACCGTTTCAATTACCACCCCTTCCGATTGATCAATGTACACTTATTTATTAGTGTATAATACGCACTCGTGTGTTATATGCACCTATAATTATGGGTAATTAAAGTCTACAAAATATATCTGTCATGTATAATATGCACTGACTTTTCTTTTGTATCATTTCAGGCTGTCAGCATTAACCACGAAATTTACAATCTTTCAACTCTGTTTTTCTCTCACCAAAATTATATTCTAATAAGAGCCGCCTACTTCTAATTTTGAGAGCGCCCTGGGCGCTTATTACGTCAAATACAGTAATCTGTATTGCCATTACAGAGTAACTATAGTTTGAAAGAACAGAGTGTTCTTTAACTTCTGTTGAGTAGCATATACTGGTCTGACATAATAATCACTTAATTGATTAAGATTAAAGTGTTATGATAACTTTAGTTGTAAAACATTTTCAGTAAAGTAACTTCATAACTCAATGTAAGAATGTTAACATGTAGCAGATAAAACACATTTTTCTCTGTTATGGATTTGTTGCAAAAAGCAAATAATAAAAAATATATCTTGCATTTTACAATACTCTATGGATAACTGTTCTGAAACTCTCCACATCCGTAGTGCTGACAATCCATACAATGTGTTTGTTATCTCAGCTCCCTGGGAAGTATACTGACCAGTGTCTCGTTCTCTGTGCGGAGAAGAGTGATCCGTCTCTCCAACCTCTGTATCTGGCCTTGTAACTCAGTTACTTTCTTCTGTAATGACTTCTCCTTCTCTCGCTCTTCCCGCTTTGTCTGAAATCAGAATTGTCAGAATCTTTATGTCAGTGGATAGATGACAGAAAAGGCAAAACATCAAATCAAAGATTAAGAAAAGTTGAAGAACTTGATCAATTCCCAGCTGTTTTAAATATCTGAAAAAAACCCAGAGAGATAGTGTTCATCATATTCCAATGTATGCCACAACAATCATAATTATTTTTTTAATGAATGTATCAATACAAATTCACATATTTTCATCATAATTATCATCATTATTCATCATCAGCAACATCATTTGCAACAGTTTTCCCTTTCAACTGTCCCCCTGCAAAAATGTTAAACAAATTGCTTGTGTTAATTTCAGAATATTTTACAAATTTCCAAACAAACCAATCGTAATAACTGACAACTCACCCCAATTTGAATGTTTTCATAAAAGCTTCATAAGGGATTGCAAAAACAACAAACCTCATTGCTAGTTCTGTTTATGTGGCCAGACCACTTTTTTTTTTTTCAAAGTTTCACTTGGTCAAGAGGCATAAAAATATCATGGTTGATTTACAAAAAAAAAAGGTTCATAAAACAAAAATTCACCAAAAAGTATGTTTAAACTATGTATATCTTATTAATCATTAATCATTATTATTCCCATATGCAATATTTAACACACAATCCCAATAAACCCAGAAAAGCAATTAAAACAAATACAGCAAACTACGGTTACGAACACACTTAAAACAAACTGACCGATATAATGAACTTATTTTTTCGTCCTGGCCATGTGTTGCATACATGCTCTATATATGCTTATAACGAACTACGGTTATTACGAACTAAAATTAATGGTCCCTTGGAGTTCGTTATAACCGTGGTTTACTGTATAAACTTTATAAACTCAATATATACTAACACAGAATCTCCATAAACCCAGCAAAGCAATTAAAACAAATATAAACTTTACAAAGTCAATATATACTAAGAAAACATACAACTTTATGAATATCAACTTCTTGTGTATTGCATTCAATGATGTTTCGATGTAGATTCTTACACCGTTATCCATCTAGTTGGGAAGACTGTGTGTTGCACTCCTCACCAGAATAACTATGGTCATATATTGAAACACACTGAAAATGCATAAACTTTTAACTCTAAAAGTATGACAAGAATCAAAGTGTACACACGCCTCACATTCATTGACGAAAGTCAATACAAACTATTCATATCAAACATTGTGACATGCATGCTCCAATATGACAACAGATTTCTGTCATGGATATTGTTCACACCGTGTTACAAAATGTAAACAAATAACAATCAATTTCATCCACCACTGCACAAATCAACTCAATACGATTTTATTCATCTTCTGATCACTGAACCACAAAAGATTTTTTTTTTCACTCGAAATTCAAAATGTAAGGGAAACTGCTATTGCTGTCAATATACCTAAACATTCATTTATACCAACAGTAACTCATGTGATCTCAGTAAAATTTATAACTTTGGTCTAATAGCGTAACTGTCGTCATTGACATCAAAGCTTTGAAAAGCAGCACCTGTTGAAGGTATTGAGGTTGGCGACGCCCACCAATGAATGTTTCATAAGTAGGTTGGGACTGGCTGAATGGCGAAGATCAATACCTTGACATAAAAATTTATTTAAGTTAAGCCTCCATTGTACAGCCCAGGCAATAGCTTATGACACAGAACATCAAGATACATGTTCGAATTTCTCGTCACGACTGACTGGTTGTTATCGCGGGGTCCTCATCATCACATCTTTCTTGTCTTGTTATTATGGGGTGTTAAGATATGATTTAACCCCTATTGATCTTTGAGACTGGTTATTTTCAGATTCAGGGTTAGCCTAGTGGATAAAGTGTTCGCTTGTCACGGCAAAGACTCGGGTTCGATTCCTTACTTTGGTATAAAGTGTGAAGCTCATTTCTGGTGTCCCCTGCCGTGGCGTAAAGTGGCGTAAAAATATACTCACTCACTCACTATTCAGATTCAGTGAGTGAGTGAGTGAGTGAGTGAGTGAGTGAGTGAGTGAGTGAGTGAGTGAGTGAGTGAGTGAGTGAGTGAGTGAGTGAGTGAGTGAGTGAGTGAGTGAGGATGGTGTTGCACTTTGCACTTCAGCATTATTCAAGCAATGTCAGACTGGAAGACACCATAAATGGGCTTCACGCATTGTACCCATGTTGGAAATCAAACCCTGGAATTAGCATGATCAGCAAATGCTTAACCACTTGACTAAACCACCACCCCTTAATCACCTATACTATCTTTTGTCATTACTTCTTGTTACGACCCGTGACGATCCGGGGTAGAATAGGTTTTCAGCAACTCATGCTTGTCGTAAAAGGCGACTATGTTTGTTGTAAGAGGCGACTAACGGGATGGGTGGTCAGACTCGCTGACTTGGTCGATGTATGTCATCATATCCTAATTGCGTGGAAAAACAGGAAAAACATCTGGCGTTCTTTAAGGTATTAAATTTTCGCTATAGTTGGCCCAATTACATGTTAAAAGTGTATTCGTCCTTACAACATACTTTAAGTATGAAACACAGACACAGACGTGCATTCAGTCCTAACATCATTACTTTACAACGTGTTACATACGAGCATGTTATCAGCAACAATACAACACTACATAACATAATGTGTATCCAAAGGACTTTTTGAATTTGTCTATTAAGTTGCTTGAAAAAAACAACCAAGGCATTTGAGTTCATCATATAATATTAACTTAACTTGATAATTTGTATCACTGGACCTACCCATGACCTACAAAGGGTCTCTATAGGATCTACACACAACCTACAAAGGGTCTCTATAGGATCTACACACGACCTGCAAGCCCCACGTTAAACCAAGATTAAGTTATTACCATGACGGGGGCACGGGCAGCCCAGTCGTCTAAGGCGCCGCAATTCTTTGTTCAGAGTTGCATCCCTTGGGCACGCCAGAAACCTATGATTGTGGGTTCGAATCCCGGTTCGCCCTGATTATGTTTCTAGGTTCCTCAGCACCATACCCATGTTCGTAGGTTTCACCGAAGTGGTTAACATCTGAGACCTGCATCACTTCGGGCTTTCCTCCCACATTAGGCTGACATGCCGTGATAATACTGTTCAGAATACTGTTTTAAGTGGCGCTAAATCCAACTCACTCACTCACAACTGAGAGAAATTGGTCACACCGCAAGGGGGACGACACTAAATCTGGTGATCATCCTACAGCCTCGGCCTCTAGCCGTTATAACGAAAGACTTGTCAACCTGCCAACATTTATTATCCCTGTATAATTAGGGTAATCACAAACTTCTAGGTTGATATACATCACAGAATGAGTGGTTACAAACAAACGAGTCTTGAATCCAACAAGGCAACTGGTCAAGCCGTGTCCCCCTTTTACAGGTCATATTGTCATGTGATATACGTGTTTGAAATATATATCTCCATGCAATAAACGCTTACAATGTTACAAAGTATCTATTAAGAGCCCGTTCTTGACACCTTGCCATATCAAGGTGAATTACGAGCTACCTCACGTCTGCGAGCAATGTTTAGTGGGAGGTGTGTTTCATGGTTTGTTTCACAATGAGAATAAAACAGCTTCTTTTCTGGTCAATTATTTGCTTAGTTTTGTCTTTGTGGAGGAGAATTAAATCCAGAATGATTAAATTTTACAATATACATTTTCAAATTACTCTGATACTACAATTTTTAGTAAAATTAATTACATGCCTATATTATTTTTGTAAATAAGTTTCACACTCTCATCACAAGTTCGGATAATGTTTTCTTACAACAATTGCTCAGTTTAAAACATTGCTTATATTATTTTTGTGAATAAGTTACACACAGACTGGAATTAATCACAACTTAGGATAATGTTTTCTTACAACAATTTTTCAGTTGAAAACATTGCTTGCTTATATTATTTTTGTGAATAAGTTACACACAGACTGGAATTAATCACAATTTCTTCAATAATGTTTTCTTACAACAATTTTTCAGTTGAAAACATTGCTTGCTTATATTATTTATGTCAATAAGTTACACACAGACTGGAATAAATCACAACTTAGGATAATGTTTTCTTACAACAATTGCTCAGTTTAAAACATTGCTTATATTACTTTTGTGAATAAGTTACACACAGACTCAAATTAATCACAATTTCTTCAATACTGTTTGCGTTTGAGGAGATATAAACTTAAAAACTGGTGTGCACACGGCATAAACCCACGAAAGTGTGCAAATTGTTTTTCATGTTTCTTACTCCATAAACACGAAAACATATGTTTGTTCGCTTGGTGTTTAACGCCGCACTCACTAATTTTCCAGCTATATGACATTGGAATGTAAATTATGGACCAGACAATCCAGTGATTGACATCATGAACATCGATCTGGGCAATTGGGATATGATGACATGCATCAACCAAGTCAACGAGCCTGACCACCTGATCCTGTTGGTCGCCTCTTACGACAAACATAGTCACCTTTTACGGCAAGCATGGGTTGTTGAAGACCCAACTACCAGGATCTTAACGGGACCAAAAACATATTCTTATAAACAAATACATCATCAAATAATAACTTCACACCCTGCTTATTAAATAATCAACACACAAAAACAGAACAATATGAATGTGTGACATCGCTCAGTGCAAATATGCAACACAAATTTTAAGCACTAGCAATTCTAATATCAGCCAATCAGGAAAAGTACATTCGTTAATGGGCATGGAATAATGTTTTTGGGTTTTATAAAAATATTAGCTTGTTTAGCCAATAAAATGCCACAGAATCACATGCAATTTACAGTGTTCAACTTCACAAGAAAAACAATAATTAATTTTTTTAAATAATATATATATTACACTGTACCCATGATTAATTAATTTAGAAATTTGTGAATCTAGGCAAATTACTTCACTGTATAGGTCAATGAAAACATTCATTAATGGGCATGGAATAATGTTTTGGGGTTTTATAAAAATATTAGCTTGTTTAGCCA